TCAACTTTCTAATTCTAGTCCACTATGCTACGCCTCATGAAATACTCATCAAAACGGTATAAGAGAGTTCACTAATACCCTATCTGTCATTGAATAACAGTCAATGGAATCATATTGTCAAGTAGACAGAGCTTTTAAAACTATTTCGAACACTAAGTTTTATATTTCATTCTGATTTCTTATGAGCCTTTCTCCGGTAGAAACATGCAAAAAAGTATGGGTGACTTGTGTTGGATCCCTTTTTCTCAGTGACAGTTCTTTTTTTGACACAAAACTGTATCTAGTGTGGTCTTCTATGGACTATAAATAATTAATAAGAGGCTTAGCTGTACTCTCATGAGGGCAAGCACTAATAATATTTCCTAAACTTGTTCTGTGTTTGTTATTATGGTGTAGTAAAATTATTACCTACAGTCGATACTTCTTCACAATATAACAATTAGTGCATAAAGAATAGTGGTTTCAGTATTTTGTTAATATTTCGACACGCGTTTTCCTCATTTAGAGTGAAGTTTTTTTTTCTAAAAACGTGCGTCGTGCAATTCTCTACAAGATTCTGTTCAATCGTTTCTAATCCAATTATTTAATCGCATTAGATTCATCCAAATTTTTCTTCGGAAAATAGTTGGAAGACCGATTTTATGTTACGTATGTTGAGCTGACTTGGAGCTATAAGACAAAAAGGTTGACACCTCTTTTAATGCAATGGTAGTGTGTCTACCCGGTAAGCAGAAGATACATGGTTCGACTCCCACGAAGTAAGAGAGATTATTTCGAGGAGATGAAAAGAATACATTTGCTGAAGCATGCAGGCTACGTTTTCGAAGCTAGAAAACCTACAGACGAGGTCAAAGGGCTTCAATAAGTGAAAATTGCCAAGAATCTTTCTCTTGTGAAGCTTACAGGAAAAGCTCTAGAAAACTGTCAGAAACTTCTTAAAATTATGTTAAAAACCAAGAAACTATAGTGGGTTCAAAAACAGAAAATGTACACTATTCAATGAGTTATAAAGCTCAAAAATCGATATTTTTGACAAAAATGAAAGATTCTAATAGGACGCCCTGAAGGATAGCTTATGATCATTGGCGAACTATGAATTTAGATTTTCAGATGTTGGAATTTCATCATTCTCGACGCTTTTTGTTAACATGCTATTACAGAAACCAATCAACTCTATTGGATCTTTGTAGTCTGAATGAATCGAAGCCGATAGATGAAACTGATCGGATCGAATGAGTTCTAAGATGTTCTGCTGTCAGAAAATTGCTGAGCTTTATCGTAATAAATGAAAATAAAAAAAAACATTTCATGATAGAACCCGTTAATTTTTTTAGCATCGACACATGTCGAACCTAATCGCTTTTGAAAACACAGATCCAACTGGAATTGATGAGATAAAGTAATCCGATATAAACAGAAAACACTAGAATTGATCGAATTTTGGCACTCATCTGTCAATTCGACCCGATGACCGTGTTTAGTCAGATTTGAGATCTGTCCGATAGGATTTCATATAGAAAGGAAGGTTCCTACATGATATTCTTCGATTGCTATGATCTTTTGCCGATAGATACTATATGATGTCCCAGTCTTAATCTCCAACCTATTTGATTGTATAGCGCTTCTTTCAAAAGTTATGAAGTTTTTAGCATTGATCATTTATTCCATACAATTTCTTAATTATTACATTACTTTAATTTTTGCAGGAGCACACTTTCCATACATGATTTAATATAATTTGTCATAGATATTGTTATTTGAAACAAAACACTTCAAACTATGCACAGAAAATGTGTCCATGTAAAAAGCAAAGTAATGTAATAATTAAGACTATATTAAAAAACTGAAAGATGCGAGAGTTCGAATTTTGTAATTGATAGTTTTTACAGTCACATTCTTTTGTCTAAGTCGACAGGTTTGTATTCGCAGAGTTGATCGAACTATCTTGTAGAGAATTACTTGGCGCATATTTTAGAAGAAGCTTAACGTTAAATGACGAAAACTTGCCGAAATATTAATAAAATACTGAGACTACCACCCTTTATACGTCACCCGTTACATTATTTCGAAGAAATGCTTCAGTTCTATCAAAATATTCGAAAACATCATATTTTCCAGCTCCCATATTTTGTATATATGTTTTGAGAATAAACGATCTAATTATAAAATAGTCCTACATGATTGTTATATTCCAATAAAGTGCCATTCTAAGGCAGAACTTGTATACAAATACTGTAGAGAAAAGAGAAGGATCCCAATTGTATTCACTACTGGATTTAAGATGTCTCTCACTTATGGATATAAAATCAGTTTAGTTATTTTCAGTAAATTACAACTGTTTTGAATATTCAACACATATCAAGTTAACCACTTCGTCCAATTCGGCCATTCCATTATTTACAAGGAGTTACAATGCAAAACTTATCACAAACAACCAACGAAACAAAGAGTCGACGATTTGTCCAAAAACCATTAGATAGCAACAGTAATGCTTCACCACATTCGAAAGTTTTATTCAGTATTCAAAACTTCATTTTGGTTTGGTTGGACTCGAATATCGTTGAATCCAATGATGATGTTTGTAATTCCATAGCTAAACTGCGACAGATTGTCAATAGAATCGATCGATTCACTGATATTAACCAATGCATAGATTTTCTTAGCAAAATCGAAAAGGAAAATATATTCATCATTGTATCGGGTAGTCTTGGTCAATCTGCGGTACCTAATATACATTATATGTCTCAAGTCGATTCTATCTACATATTTTGTGAAGACAAGTCAAAGCATGCACAGTGGGCAAAAGACTGGCCAAAAGTAAAGGGTGTATTTACTGGAATCGATTCTATTTATGATGCACTTGACAGTGACACACATCAATGTTACCGTGATTCGACTACAGTTAGTGTAACAAGTGGAGATTTAAATCGTCTCAATCCATCATTTATGTATACACAACTGCTCAAAGAAACTCTCATTGACATGGCACATGAATAAGAGGAAAAGAAAGAACTTGCTGACTTTTGTCGACAGCAGTATCATGATAATCCGACTGAGTTAAAAATTATTGATGAGTTCGAGCAAATTTACCACGAAAACACAGCTTTATGGTGGTAAACTCGGGAATGTTTCACCTATAAGATGCTCAACCGAGCTCTGCGAATGCAAGAAGTTCAAAATATCCTTAAGATGGGCTTCTTTCTACGTGATGTTCATAGAAACATTGTAGAATTACATTCAAAAACAGTACACGATAGTCCCTTCAATGTCTATCGAGGTCAAAGTCTGTCGTACGATGATTTTATCAAGATCAAACAGAACAAAGGTGGTTTGTTGGCATTCAACAATTTTTTATCTACAAGTCTCAATGAAGATGTCTCGTTACGATTTAGCCGAAAGTCGTTGCACAATCCCAATGCAGTAGGAGTATTCTTCAAAATGTTCATCGATCCATCGACTTCTTCTGCTCCATTTGCTTCGCTAAGGAGAGTAAGTGCTTATGAAAATGAAGAAGAAATTCTATTCTCTATGCACACTGTATTTCGAATTGTTGACATCAAACAATTAGAAGACTTGGTGTGGCAAGTAGATCTCGTATTGACCGCTGATAATGATGAAGAACTTAAAGAACTAACTGAACACATACGAAAAGAAACACGGGAATTAACACCATGGAATCGACTGGGTCAAATACTATTTCGCATGGGAAATTTCAATGAGGCGGAAGGACTCTATCGGGCACTGTGCGAAAGAACATCAGATGACAATGAAACCGAGCTTTCAGAATATTATTATTGGCTTGGAAGAATCAAAAATGCTCAAGGAGAGTATACAGAGGCACTGCATTTCTGTGAACAGTCACTTGAACTCAGACAAAACTGCGTGCCATTGAATCACTTAGCTTTGGCTGCCACGTACAGCAGTACTGCTTCCGTGTATAGCAACATAGGAGAATACTCGAAAGCACTCAAGTTATCTGAAAAGTCGCTTGAAATTCGACAAAAATTGCTGCCATCAAATCATCCAGATTTGGCCGGCTCTTACAACGCCCTAGCTTCTGTATATGATAAAATGGGAGAGTACTCGAAATCACTCGAATTATATCAGATGTCACTTGAAATTAGACAAAAATGTTTGCCACCGAATCATCCAGATTTGGCTGCCTATTACAACAATATTGCTTCCGTATATCAGAGCATGGGAGAGTACTCGAAAGCATCCGAGTTATTCGACAAGTCACTTGAAATTCAAGAAAAAACTCTGCCACCAGATCATCCAGATCCGAGTACTTTCAGTTTTACACATTGAATCAGAAAAAAGATTGACAATTGTACGCAGAAATATGGTGTGGGTGTGGGGGGCGGGTGTGATTTCTATGTTATCTATAACCACAACTACACCCCACTCACTTCCTGTTCTAGAAAGTCTATCCTTTTTTATTATTGTGTGTTGTTCAACGATACTAACAGCCTCGCATCATAGACAAATGATTATCGATGTGTGTAGTCAATTTAAACTCTATTTTATTTTACGAAATTTCTTTTTCTTCGTTCGTCATCATAGTTTGCTTGCTCTCCCTAAGGATGTACCGAGACTGAAGATTCTCTAACAAAAATTGTAATTTTTTCTCTATGAAAAAACTGCGAGACTGTACGAGATTTTTATCTAGAGTTGCTCAGCTTGACTTGATTTATGTGTGTACAACTCGACAGATCGATTACGAAAATAAAAGATCGAGTCTCGGTCAGTCTCGATCAATATGTTGCTTTTTTAATGTTCTGGCCGAGACGCGACCTTTTATTTTCGTGATCGATCTGTCCAGTTATACACACATATAAATTCAGTCAAGCTCAGCAAATCTAGATAAA